ATACGATGACATAATATTGAGAAATTATGGGCGATATTTGTTCTCTTTGCACGTTGCATTCTAAATTGTCTACAAAGATTAGGTAATGATTTTATAATCAGGGAAAATAAACTAAAATAGAAACAACTATAATGCAAGTGGAAGTGTAATTTTCAGACAAGTGCCCTTTCATGTAAACATAGGAAACTAACAACTTTAGCCTTGAGGATAGTAGCACTGTGGTGGGTCTCAGCCCGCGGTGGCCGCATAGAGAAATGCTTGTGACAAAACGTGAAGTAGAAAGGAAAAAGACGCATTTACAATGAGGAATGCATCTTAGTTTTTAGAATTGTTGAGTCGTGGTCATCTCTCTGGACAAGAAGTGGTTGTGGACATGGCTGCGAAACAGCAGGCCGATTACAAGGAGAAAATAGGTCAAATCGATCATTTGGCTTACACAGGAGAAACAAGCTGCTGGGTCTTGTTTTGTTTTCTTTTATAGATAAGCAGAGACCTTTATAGGGACGCTCATATGATTTTACACAAAGAACATCTCAGAAAATCTTCTTGGTCGTAGATACTAAGGGGCTAAAGTGTTCAGAGTCCTAAACAGCATCATATGTGGTAAGTCCTCAAAAACTATTTGCCTACCTATACGTATTCCTCACGTGGCAGAAGAAGCCAAGGTAACTCTGGGGGGACATGGCTTTGCCCCTGGACTCTGCTCTTAAAGCGTCCTGGTGCCCCTATATAGGAAGTACGTGCTGACTCCCGGCCTTCTCCGCAGCACGCCAGGTCCCTAGCCTGTTCATTCCTGTTGCCCGTGATTTTAATCTAACACATTATCGATGTCATTAAATAGCCCCCTTACTTCATGGCCAACTAAAACCCAACTATGTCTGAAATAACACCACTCTGCCTTCATTTAGGTATCAGACAAGCATGTGGAACTTAACCAAAGCATCCCAATAGACCCCTAGCTTTTCCTGTTTAATGCTGTTTCTCCTATTCTCCCTCACATCAGTCAATAGAACCATCCAGACGCTCCAGCCAAAGTTGCAAGCACCACTATTTCATTTCTCCCTTTCCCTGCCTACTCACACCTGATCAGAAGCAAGCTCTGTTGACTCTATCCCCGATGCACCTAAGTAAGTTCCCTCACTTTCGCCCTCCGGAGCGACCACCCCAGTCCCAGCCACCTCTGCTCAGCTCCCACCCTATAGACAGTCTGCATCCAGGGTCACCATTATCTGCCTGGAAACATTCAATATGGTTTCTCATGGCAGAGTCCTCCTTGCTCTGATTTTTCAGGGTACATCTTGGCTTCCTGGAGAGGCTTTCACAGGCTACCGAGCCTCTATCACATTCCTCTCCTTTAACATTTTCTACGTAACGCTTAACTCATATTGATGGATCGGTTGGGTGGGTGGTTGATTGATTGGCTGTGGTTGCCATTAGAATTTAAGCACAATAAGAGTAGGGGTCTCCGGCAGTCTTGTTCACTAAGATATTCCCAGAGACGAAAACAGAGCTGGCACATGGTAGGTCTTCAGTAAACTATTGATGAATAAATGTACAAACTGGAATGTTCTGTTTACATTCTGGTCATCTCTGCTAGACTGCGAGCACCTTGAGGATAGACAAGGCCTCGTGTGCACACCTGTATCCCTGTCACCTGGTGCACACAATAGAGCATCAATAAGGTGTGTTGGATTAATGGGAACTAGGGCATATATTTCTTGATATCTAATTGCATGCAGAGGTTGAACTGATAAAACAGTGGCCCACCTCTTGGCCTCCCACCTCCATAAATAATTATCCTAATGACAGATGGTGTTTATAACGGGCCAGCTATGAACCAGGTACCGTCCCACATCCCTTATCAGTATCCGTTCACTGCATCACCTGAACAACACATAGGCAGAGCTACAGGTATCCTCATTTTATAGATAAGGGCACCAAGGTGCAGAGAAATTGAACGTATTACTGGAGGAAGTAGTCTAGAGCCCACCTTGAATTCAGACTTGTGATCACCAGGGAGCTCAGGGGCTTTGGCCAAGCTGGCCCAACCATCACCTTTTATGTCCCTCCTACGTTCTGTCCACTTTAGCACTTCCCTAGAACTACGCTGTCCAGTGCCACCAGCCACATGTGGCATTTCAATGTAAATTAATTACAATTAGATACATTTTGAAATTCAGTTCCTCGATGTTATGAGCCACGTATCTTCTCGATAAGCCCATGTGGCCAGTGGCTACCATGTCAGAGAGCACAGGTACAGAACATCTACACCATAGGAAGCTCTCTTGGGTGGCGCTGCCTGGGAACATAGATCCTTCGAGGGCAAAAAATCATATCGCACATTTATCATAACTTTTTTTCTTGGTGAGGTGAAAGGGTTAGTCCAATAATTAGCATGACAGAAATTCTTAATAAATATTAGCCACCTATTCCAGAGGCTAATAGCAAACTGAGATATCTTGTTGCTCATACATAAGCATGCGTATAAATCGAACTCTCCACTACCCACTGAGGAGAGAAAAGGCTAACGCACCCCTGTTGCCGGCATTGCTAACTGTGACACACGCAAGAGCCAGCTCCCTTCATTTGCTTGTTCTACTCCTAATTAAGGATGTTCATTGTGTGCTTTGTTCCTATGGATCGTTTCTCAATGAACATATCTGACTATTTAGCGGTTCTGAACTTTCCGTACCCTGGAGAGAAAACTGGAAGTCAGGATCTATTAAGGATGATTGCAACACTCAAAGCAAAGTTTTCCAAGACTGTGATTGTATTTTCTTTATTTTCTCTTTTTTTTTTTCAGCAGCAGTTTTCAAATCCCATAACGTTCCGATGAATTTCCAGGAGCACGTTAATCAAGACCTTCTGCTTCCTTGCCGGGAGCAGGAGATGTGTCCCACAAGCTCAGTGCAAGCAACGCAGACTGAGGTCCTGCCCGTATCTGCCCGTGTCAGGCACGGGGCGGGGCGGGGGCTGGAAAGGTACTTCTGTGTCTCTGGTCTTGTGCTTAAAAGCTGGGGATGTGGAGGAGGACCCTGGATATCCGGGGGCGTCCCATCCTTCATTCATTTAATCAATATTTGTTAAGTAATCACTAAATTCCAGGTACTATGCAAGGCAGTGGGAACATAGGAGGCAAAACCCAGCTCAAAATGCTGCCTTCGTGGGAGCTGCAGCGGGGAGGACAGTTCATAAGCAGATAATAGACGGACACCTACTATGTCAAGTGCTAATAAGTAATGCTAAGGGAATAGAGCAGGCTACGGGGCACGAGAGTAATGATTGAAAGCTGAGTTTTAGAGCGAGCGACGGGAAGTGCTGTCCCCACGAAGCCCTGCAGCGAAGAGTCTCCAGGCCGAAGCCTGGCAGAGGAGGAGGGTGCGGGGCATGTCTGGGGAAGGAAGGGGGGAAGGAAGGGGAAGAGGTCAGACGTGCGGGTGGTGCAAAGCTCACAGATATTCACATTTTATTCTGAGAGTTCTGCGCAGAGTCGGGACTTCATCTGACTTACGTCTCTCTGTGCAAGCGGTAGACATGAGAGGGCAAGGATGGAGACAAGGATGCCAGCTGGAAGACAACCGCAATCACCCAAGGGAGAGGTCCCCTGTGTCTGGGCTGGCAGGGACTGCAGGACAAATGCAGGCTTGGGTGGGAGTGCTTCCACAGGTGTTAGGGACACAAAGACTGGGACACCTGACTAGGGTCACCAGATTTAGCAGACAAAAATTCAAGAGGCCCAGTTCAATTTGAATCTCCGATAAACAACAAATTTTTTAGCATAAGTATGTCCCATGGGATATTTGGGACATACTTGCACTAAGAAAGCTTTCATTGTTTATCTGAAATTCAAGTGTAACGGGTTGCTCTGTATTTTATCTGTAACCTGAGCGACCTAAGGCATCAGAGGAGGCCTGCTGGTCCTACCTAAGCTAGGTGTTGAGGGTCAAGGGGTTGAGGAAGGAGGGAAGGAGTCCCTGGCAAAGGGAATTACACCTGTCCCTTCTCTGAATTTCTGTAGGACTTCCAGAGAGCAGGACTCAAACGCCTGGGCCAGGGGGAAGCAGCACAGAGCCCTACAGAGTCTCTAGCAGTGAAAGTCAGGCCCGTGACCAGCCTTCAGCTTAGTTCCGGCGGGGTTTCCTCCCAAAGCCTGCAGTGCGTAAGGCTCCTGTGCGTTTCTCACGGATGACAGGCCGCGGTTGCATCACTGCTTTCCTCCAGCCTGAAGCTCTGCCTTCACCTGATCCTCGAGCGGGTAGGATTTAGAGACACGCTAAGGCTGACAAGCACTCACGCACACACATGCACGCAGGGAGGGCCACCGCATGCCAAGGGCTGCATGACACACGCTGTCCAAGCCCCGTGGGGGGGGCAAATGCCAGCACAGGGCTCACATGCAGGCCTGCCCGGCCCAGGCCCTGCCCGCCTTTTTCCACACTGCCTGCCCTCACTCCCCACCAAAATGACACCAGCAACGAGAGCCGAGGGGAGCTCTTCCGGCTGGGCGAGTGACTTGCACAGAGGTGCCTGCTGTGCAGGGAAGGGGAAATCCACCTGAGCTGGTGACAGTGCAGGGGAGAACTGAGTCCTCCTGCGAGCCACTGAGGGCTGGGCTCCCACAGCCACGGGGATGGGAAGTTTGGAAGATCTGGAAGATGAAGAGAAACGGAGGAACAGCAGGGAGCAAAGCCGGAGAAATATTCTGCTTCCCAGAGCTTATTGACAGAGGTCGCCAGGAAGGAACGGGTATGAGAAAACACCCTGCCTTCTTGGGGTTTTTATTAAGAAGCAGAATAAGACATTAAGCGACGGCTTGTTTGAGCGCACAGCCTCGGCAGGGAAACAGCCAATGATTTCAGAGAGCTATATTATTACTTTGTGTTTGCTTATCTTTTTCTCTCCTTACCTGATAATCATCTGTAGCTCTATCTGTCTTTTTAAGGACGTGTGAGAAAATAGAAAAGGTTACAGAGGACATTCAAAGAATTGCATATTATTACCTGGCTTTCCAGAGCTGACTGTGCAATTGTTTGTTTTTGATGAGATAACAATGAAGATAGAATTGTTCCGAGCAAATGCTGTTCAAATTTCATCAAGCCGTGCCTCTCGCCCCATTCTCATGCACGCCCCCGCCCAGCGCACATGATTGTCGGGACACCCGAGCCACTGCCAGTGGAACGGTTGGTGAGAGTAAAACCCTTTCTCTTTGGCCTCCCTGCCCACCGGCGGCAATGGCATTCCTGTGTTATGCGGAAGACGGTAATGTCCAGCGATGGTGCCAGCTGCTTCGCTAGGGTCTCCCAGGTAAGCCCTACTGCCACTCCCCTTCGAGCCATAGTATGCTGGCCCTTCCCACTTCAATGCACCCCCTGTCTTTCCCAGGCCACCTTATGCTCTGTGCCACTCTCTGCCGTCGCCCCGTGCATATCTCATGGTCACTCCCTTTGCTGCAGGGGTGCAGGGCGTTTCACACCGGGTGCTCCCCCTCTTGTTTCCAGGTCGAACTTCCCATCGGCCCCTGAGCCCCCTGCGGCTGGGATCACAGCCTGTGTATTTCTGGAGAACCAGGCCTGCCGCAGAGTTGCTTCTCCTTGAGTTTTGTTCGGTGAATGAACAAATAACAAAAGGAAATAGTTTGCTAGGAGTAGAGGAAGAATCTTGTCTGGGAGCCTGCTACGTGCCGTGCAACGTACTGCTCACTGTGTTCCTGGAACTGCACCGGGGGCCTTGTATTTCAGAGGAGAATCGCGCTGGTTCTTCATGAGCCGGACTGCAGAAGAGACACCACCGATGTAATGAAGGGAACATCTCCGCAAGAGTCTGGCCTTCTGCGGTGCTGTTCGGCCGCGCCTGGAAGGTAGCCCAGATAGATGAACGTCCCAGACTGTGGGCTCTGAAGTTCAAACACGAGCTCTCTCGCTACAATCCTGTGCGACTTTGGGCAAGGAACCTTTCACTTCTGTGAACCTCAGTTTCTAAAAACCTCTGCAAAAAGAGAAAAATAACAGTATCAACCTCATAAGATGTCGTGAGAGAAAGATGAGCTAATACAGGTCAAATTTAGCGCAGTGCCTGCTACAGTTGTGTTAAAATATTAGGTGTTGTGACTGGTACCGAATTTTATTTTCATTCGTTCATTTACTTATTTACAGTTCACCTCTGCCGCAAGCCGGTGGCTCTAGCGTCATACTGCACGGTCGTCCCCACGTGCAGAACGGTCTTTGGAAAGGCGCGGGCGGTTCTTGGGCTCAGTCGGGAACCAGCCTCTGCCCAGGTGCCTCCTGCACCCCACCGTCCAGACCAACCATCCTGCCTTCTGGGACCCCAGTCACACGATGCTCATTCCCGAGGACACCTCCCCTGTTCCCAGGTCTGACAACTGGCTCAGCGGTTGGCTTTGACTTTTTCATTCCAGTCCTGGCCACAGGATTGGGTCAGCAGCCTCCTCTACCTGCTTTGATATCTGAGCTTGTCCCCACCCTGGGGGCCTCACACCCTGACGCAGGCTGTCGCAATGGCTGCGCCCGCAGATTGGCCCCAGTGGTGTGAGAGGAATCTGGCCATTCCTTCCAGAATAATAAAAACATACTGGGATGTAGAATTTCATAGCTCTGTGTTCCCTATAAATAAGGCTAGTCACAGATAAACTTTTGGAAGGGATCTACTAATCCCCATTTAAAGCTGGGTTAATGGGGTTGAAGGAGACGGGACGTGGCACGTAGCAGAATGGCTGGACACTCGCCCTTCCAGTCACTTACTGTATGTAACAAGTGACTCCAAAACTTAGTGGCTTAGAACAATAATCTATTGTTACTATAACTCATGATTTCATGGGTCAAGAAGTTGGAATACATATATGGAATATACAGAGAACAAACAATATATAATTATAGACTGTATAGAATACTATTTAATATCTCTCCAAGTCTACCAAAGTCTCATCTCTAGAGATTATAATTAGATGAGAGATTTTTTAAAAATCGTGACTCAGGCTATCTTAATGAATATGCAGAAATGCGTCTCATGACTTAGCAACGATGCAGATCATCAGTTAACTCTGACGTCGATAACCAAGTTTGTGCATCAGGCTGTGGAGACTTGTTCCAGAAACCAGCCCTGCATTATTCAAGGAATCCAGAAAGAATAAGGCGATGGAATGATGCTGGTTTTTAAATATAATTTTCCAGCAGTTTAAGAAGAATAAGTTTTTCATTTAAAAAGCCAGCGGTATCAGCAGGCAACTAAGTTCTGTTTTAGTTGGAAATCAGTGGGTGGGAATATAAAGCCACAGGTTTTTTTTTTTTTTTTTTCTTCCTAAATGGAACTGGAGAAGCAGCAGATATAACAAGTTGTAATCAGCCAAATTTCTTTTTTATAAATATATGAGTTGGAGTTTTCTTTTTATATTTTTGATATACATATATATATAATTTTTTTAATCCAGCATAGCAGTAGAAAAAAATCACCTTTGCTAAAATCCTTTATTTAGGGGAGGTCAAAAGAAACCCCTGTGAAACCTTAAGGATCTATGGAAAAATCAGAGATTTATGAGGCCAAAATCAGGCCATTTGCATCTGAAAGCAAAGGGGTATGATTATCTAGTGGTATCTCCCCTTCCCCCATTCCAAGGGGTCCTAGGTTGGGCAGCTCTGGGGCGCCAGTTCCCTGGCTGAGGCTGGGGAAAGTTGTTAGGGCTGGGATGAGTGTGAAGTGGTCAGCCGGAGTGGGTTAAGCCAGGGGCCAAGTACAACCAGGGATCCAAGAAGGGGAGCTGGCAGCCAGGGCCAGAGAAAGGACATCACCCAGAGGCTGTGGAGCAAGGATGGGACGGGCCACCTTGACCTCGGCCCCTCACTAACCTCTGGCCTCAGTCCAAAGACTTGACCTCTCCCGATCAGTTTCTTCATCTGCAGTGGGGCTTACAATGCCTACACATTTGCTACTTGAAGATTAACTTACAAAAAATGAACAAAAGGGGCTTGGTCTGATTCTTAGCACACAGAAGTGCCCAGTAAATGGTCCAAGAGGCCTCGGCAAGTACAAAATTTTCTGATGGGCTAATAGCTTAAGATCCAGCTGCATGCTCTGGCCGGGCAGGAAGGAGAGCACCCTGGGAACATCTCTAGAGGGTCCTGAACTTTGTGGCCCTAATGGTGTGGTCGGGTAGGGGTGGTCGGGCTGACCCTGGTTAGGGACGCTGGCTGGGGACAGGCAGACGCTGTCACGCTCAACGTAACAATGGGATTGAACACCGATATACTTTCTTTAGGCCGCAGATCTCTTCCTCAGTAGCTTGCGTAGGTGTGCACTTGTGCGAGCGCATTCGCGTGTGCCTACGTGGCAGGGAAACTAGTGAACGAATCCTATGGCAAGCGCACTAAGGGAATTTGCAATGACAACACTGGAGCGAATCCTTTTGTGAAGGAAGGAATCTTCCGGCCAAGTGGTTACTCAGCATATAATTTGTCTCTCGTGCACCTTTCGCCAGGGTGTTCGGTTTTACTACGAGGCAGCATTCAGGGTGTGGACACTCGCGTCGGGATGTCAGAGTGAAACTTCTGGCTCTTCAACTGACACAGGCAAGTGACTTCACCACTCTGTGCCTCAGTTTCTTCATTTTCAAGTGGGGATTATGCCAGCTCCTACCTCGCCACAGTTAAGTCGGGATTAAATGAGTTTATGCATGCAGTGCTCCCAGCATGACACTTGGCACACAGCTTAAGTACACAGCGAGCATTGGTTACTTTATTCTATTCCATTTAACCGTATTGTTCTAGCACTGCTATCATCCACTCCCTTGGCCCAGAAATCCTGTAGGGGACCTTGCTCCCCACTTTCCACCTTGCATAAAATTTATCACTGAGTCCTGTTGATTCTCTGGCCAGGATGCATTAGAGAGAGGCCTCCCCTTCTAACTTCACTGTATGCGTCCTATTTCAAGCCACCACTGCCACGAGCTGCATTCTCAGTGACAGCCCCACATGGCCTCCATATGCCATCGTCCACGCTCCAACTGTAGGGAACCCAAACCACCCAGAGCTGGTGTGCAAGCCTTCCGCAGTTCCGCCAGGCCAACCTTGACCTGGCCACATTTTGTCGAGGCCTTATGGCAGACAATGTCCCTCCCAGGGCCCCCAAAACCATCAACACAGGTCTTCTCGCTCTCCGAAAAGCCCATGCTCTTTCTGGTCACTGGCACAACTTCCTTTGCACGTTAAAAGATGAGCTATTTACATCTGTTGCGCCAACCTTATTGAGGCATCTTTCCTGGTTCTGTATCCAATGCATCTAGCTACGCTTTGCACTTAATGTGCATTTAGTAAATAAATGGTAAGTGAAAAAGGAGAAAATTCAGTCACCCTCTAAAGGACAGGCATTTTGGTGTGAATTCCAGGGAACAACCCTGAGTCAAATTTCCATACTCGAAAATCTCCCAGGGAGAAGTCAGCCAGCCCTGCTCCTCGCATTGCCTATAATTAGACGATCATGAGCAGGTTGGGAGCGCGTCACAGGGAGGAATCTCTCTAGGAGCAGAAGCTCTCCTGTTCTCAAGGTGCTTCTGTGTCACTCCGGTCTTAAAGTTTAAAATCTTAGGTATATTTCTGTCGAATGTAGGCACCTCTCGACTTTCTTTGCTGTGGGTGGACAATAGGGGTTTGAGCAATGGGGAGTTGAACATCAGGAAAACCCACAATTAGATTCACTCAGCTAGATGACGATTCGGCTGTATCCAGCACAATCAGTATACTCTTATTGAGCGCCTACTGTGTACAAAGCACAAAGCTATAAAATAAAAAGGGGGACGGGCGGATACAAACGCATTAATTATCTGGTTTGATCAGACTATCAGGAGCTGCGGGTACGAGTGGAAATGCCCCTGAACGGGGACATTCAGGCGAGAGAGCAGAAAGACATGAATGCCAAACTGAAGAGCGAGTCGAGCCGCCAGCAGGGAAACCCACAGCGGATCACTGGCAGGGCGCCGGCGGGCTCCGCTTCCCTTCGTAGACACATGCCACATCACGCCCTCGCCATGCAACTCCGAGACAGCACACCCAACTGAGAGGGCACGGGGCTTAAAAGAAACGCAGAAGTGAGGCTCGGGTCCCCACGTCCCATCTGCCCTGAGACGGAACGTTCACACGTCAGGCCGCTCCCCCGGCTCTACTCTCCGGAGGGGACGCTGGGGGTGAGGGGCCTGGAATCCTGGGTCCCGAGGAAGCAGCTCCCACCCCAGCCCAGGGAGCCTCTGGGAGAAGCACCAGGGGGCTGCAGGATCCTGGCACCGCCAACAAACACAGGGCGCCGGGAAGAAACTGCAACGTCCGGCAGAAGCGTGGGTTCAGACCCTGGCTGTCTCGGGTTTGCCTTGTGGGGTTAGGTGCATCATTAATGCTCTGCCTCTCTAATCGCTCATCCGTGGAAATGGGAGAAAACTAACCTTCCTGAGTGCATGGACAATTATCTCTCCCTTTTTTCTTTTTTTTCTTTCTTTTTTCCTTTTTTTTCTTTTTCTTTTCTTTTTTTTTCTTTTTTTTCTTTTTCTTTTTCTATTAGTGCCTTAATAGAAATGTAGGCTCATTTTCCCAATGATCCATTGTTCAAAATAAAAAGGGAAGCTGAGTCTGCACTCAAAATCTACGACCAGAGTCTCCGAGTAGACGAGCACGCAGGAGCAGTTCCAGGACTCGGGCCCTTCCGCGGGGACACACTCAGGGCAGCCTTAGACCCAGGGGGACCGTGCGGTGTCATAACAATCTTTGTGCTTAACCCCTTCCCTTCCACCTTGCAGAACAAACCAAGGGCGCACAAAGGGCTCTACGAGTTTTACATGAGATCACAGGACAGATGCACACACAATCGTTGTGCAATCTGTAAAGTCCCACACAGAGTGTGAGCTGCTGCTATTAGTATTATTATTATTTTTTATTATTACTATTATCAGGCGTCTAGTCCCATGGGGGAGCATTACCCGTGGCCCACCTCCTCCAACTGCCGCATCTATTAATACACGTCTACCTCTTCTTCACTTCCATCCTACGTACTGCTAGAGCGGATATAAGGCAGTTTACATAACAAGTATAGTAGTGGCATAATAAGAAAGTAAAATCAAATTGAAAACAGGAACATAAAAAAGGGGCAATGCCCTCATTTGTGGCATAAGAGTTCAGATCGTTTCCCGGCCTTACGTTCCTAGCAGCCAGCGCAGAGAGGAGAGCCTGAGCCGCCTGCCGCTCACGTTATCAGAGCGGAAGCACCGCCAGCTCCTCAGAGAGGCAACTCTTTCCCTGATGCTAAACCCCTACAGGAATGTTCTAGAAGCCCCGCGGTCAGAGGTAAATCCCAGGAGCCCAGAGGAGCAGCTGACCTGGCTGAGAGGGGCCCGGGGGCGGGAGAGGCTGAGTGGGGAAACGAGAGCCCAGGCGGGTCCGGATGGTGACCAGACGTGGACAGGAGGGGCCGGGCGAGCCAGGCAGGGAGCCGTGTGCTCAGACGCCCGGAGACAGAGTACGTGGGCTGACCGCGGGAAGGAGCCACGCTGGGGCGTCACGGCAGCCGCTGCGTGTGTTGGCACATGTGTGTGCCCCATAAATCTGTGTCCAGTGGGAAAAACCAAGGGGAATATGAATAAATCTGTCAGGAAAATAAAACCAAAGAACCAGTTAGCTCAGAAATTCAACCAAGCCAAACATCCCTGCTGCCCCTCTGAGTCCACGTGCGATTTCACAGTGCGAGAGTCACAGGCTTTACGCTGAAGCGCCCCCGTCTTTCTCCTGCCGCAATCTCTGCCCAGAGGTGCCAAGCAATGCGGCTCCCTCTGGAATGTTCTAGCAGCTCTAGGCTTCCCCGGCAGTGGCCGGGATCAGTGGAGTCTGGGAGGGGCGAGGTGCTGCAGGGCTCCCTCCCAGGTGACACATTCAGACTGACCTTTGGAATAAGAGAAACCGAGGAACTCCCAAAGTGCCCTGTTGATTTGCCGACGCCAATTCTCATTCACTGGTTTCGGGTCAACTCACTTTCTGCGACTTGGTGGCACATCAGATGGACCCTGGGATAGCAGAGTTAAGCAAGTAATAACAGCTGAGGGGAAAGAGCCCAGTTACTATTTATTTGGCCAAATAGAAAACTAGCTTCTACTGCATTCCAGGCCGTGTAGACCCTGAGGAACTGGAGGCTGGGAAACCACAGTCCCCCCTTCTTCCAAAGCTCTGCCCCCCTCCTTGCCCTTCACCCCTACTTCTGCCTCTTTGCTCTCCCCCCCCCCGCCCCAGTTCCCACTTTCTTCCATTCCATCTCTTCTCTTCCTTCTTCTTTCTCTGTCCCTCAGAACATTTAGGATATGTGCCTTATCCCCAGGGTTTCGAATGTCACTTTGGCACGTCCAGAATGGGTCACTTTCCATCCATTCTGCCCCTAGGACACCACGTTCCACTCAATTCTTCCAATGTCTCTTCAGTCCTGGAAAGAAATCTCCTATCACATCTTTGATCGTTGCTGTCCCATCTCTGTCTTTCTTTTCTCTCGGTAAGTTGCGTATCGGGTGTGACAGGCAGAACACAGTCCCCCGAAGACGTTCACGTGCTCGGCTCCAGAACCGTGCCTGTGTTAGGCCGTGCAGCAACGAGGAATTAGAGCTGCAGACAGAACTGAGACGGCTAATCAGTCCTCCTTAACGTGGGGGCATATCCCGGACCACCCAGGGGAATCCAGTGAAATCAACGCGGTCCTTGAGGGTGAAGGAGGGAGGCGCAAGAGGAGGCCAGGAGAAGGAAATAGGAGACTAGGCAACCGTTGCCGGCCTTCAAGGTGGACACAGGGATGACAGCCAGGGACTGTGGCTAATACTTACATTTGTGAAGTTCCGGGGAAACACTAGACATAGAGAGAGGCAGGTATCCAGGCCTCTTAGAGACTGTCTGATTCAGGTTCCTGGAAAAAGCAAACTCGCGACAGTCCTCCCCTATAGAGAATCGTTGTAATAGATCTATTTCCGCCATGTCCGTCTGAATACCCGCCATGTTTTCAGCGCACACGGGGGGCACCCAGGGGTGCTGGCCCCACTGCGATTAGAACGAGACGCCACACAGGTCTTCCTGGGCCCCTCGCCCACTCCACGGGCAAACACCCCTGACCCACAGCTGTCAGAGAAACAAGGGAGCCCGGACGCCACCCCGTTTAGCTTCGCAGGGGAGTTCTCAAGGGAAGAGAACCACCGAGGGAAGGAGTATTTCTTGAGCAACTACTAGAGCCTAGGCGAGCCTTTCAGGCTGTATTCTGTGGCTTCACAGCACTCGGCGACAGACTGTTGAACCTCCAGGAGCCAGAACTCTGGATTTCAGTTAGCATTTAATTAACTGGAAGAGACCAAGAGCTCCATGGCAGCCCCTGATTGCGATCTGTGGATGGATGGGCATTTTTATCTGAAAATGATGACCGGCTTATCTTCTGCTGTGCAGCGATCACACATGATATGTTCTCTCGTTATCCCAGCCAATCAAACACAGAAAGTTTATTAAGATCCTATCATTTGAAGTTATCGCCAGCGATAGGAGTTTTCATCCGAATGTGCTCCTGTGCAATACCGTATTTTTCCTAAGAGACCCTCAGGCAGAACCGGAGAGGACAGGTTATCGGTTACCAGCGGGCGGCCACTTCACAGTCAATGACCACGCGATTTAGGAGTGTGGCCATTCAGATGACTCTCATAACCAGACCACCTAAAAAGGAGCCTGTAACTCCTACTTTTCTTAGTAAATGAGCTGGCATGGCTACAGAATAACGTAAACATGAGAAGAAATCAACACGATGCTATAATAATAAGAAGGAAAAAATGATTGCTTAGGCGAATAACTAGAAATGCGAAATAGATGGTTCTATATTTTGCTCAAAATAGGCTCTGAGCTTCCTAGAGGCCATAAAAAAATAGAAATGTGATCAATTCTGAGATTTTTAGAAACTGTGAAATGACTACTGTGCATTATTTATGAGAAGTCCGCTTTCATTTAGGTTGGTGACAGACAGGAAATTTGGAGAAAGATAATTCAACCCTTAAACAAGTATTAATTTATACAGTCAACAAGCATTTCTTACATTATCATTTATGCTGGCCGCCATATTGGTGCTAGGTTCTCAGCACTGGATCAGACTTACCTGCCCGCTCAGGGTGGACAAGCCCATCCATGTGACAGACAGCAGTGAGAACACCACACGGTGTGGGGGTGCTTGCATGGAGGTGTGCGTGGCACCCACTGAGGCCCCAGGGGTTAGGCTGCTCTCCTTCCCTTTGTGCATTTGGGGGTGTTTTTGTGGACAAGACAGAGCTCTTAAAGAGAGGAACTCATCTGGAAGACGAGGAAGACAATATAATAGAAGACACTGAATGAGAAACAATTACACACTACAACTGCTGTCCAGAGGAGGGATTGCTGACAAGCCACTCTTTCTGGGCTGCAAGCCCCTTGAGACCACTTAGGTGTGCTCTTCAGTGTCACCTCCCACCACCAGCATGGGACCTGGCACGCAGTGGGTGCTGAACAGGTCCTTGCAGAAAGAATGATGGAAACAAGCCGTGGCCATTTGGAGTTGTGGCAGATGTCCTCGGTACTTGGACAACCAGGATTACCTGTTTGCTTTAAGATTCCAGCTAAATAAATTGAGCAGCACTGTTCTTCTGAGACTGCTCAGACAACCACGTGGAGGACTGTTGTAATTTTTCCAGAGATCTCTGAAGTTTGCAAAACCACTTCGTATCCTTGGTCTTAGTCGTTGCCTGCCACCACCTGGTACAGGAAATTGCCGACTGGTGGGGCAGAAGGCTGCAGATAAGTCTTGGGAGGAAATTCTACTCTTACTCCCTTCAGGATATAGTGTTGTTGGAGTAGATGTACCTGCCTCGCCAATGTAGGCTGTGAGCTCTCTGAGCTCGGGACAGCACCTGCCTTCTCTTAGCAAATTCCAGAAGCCTTGGGTAGAATCAGGGTTAGACCACCTGAGAGCTGTATGAGCCTTGGGTGAATAATTAAACCTCTCTGAGTTTTAAATCCTTCCTCTTTCAAATGCACAAACAATGGATAAATTAGTTCAAAACACAGTTGCCAATCGCCTGGTACCCCCCAACCCAACATGGCAACCCCAGCTTTCCTGCACTCTTCAACCACCGCTCTCTGTGTTTGGAACTATCCCTGCTAATTCAGGAGCAGCTTGAAGGGCTCTGCCCTCCCCACTCTCGCTCCTTTCTCCCTGCTCCTATAAAAGTCAGAATCTGTGGGCTCCCCAGTGGACTCTCCGTCTTCCACCTTACACATCTCTGCGGGGCTCCAGGACTCCCGTCACTCCCCTTCATCCTCTCTCTCTTCCTGACTCCTTGCCTACTTCGGGGACCTATCCCCCTAATTTTCCTACCCTCCCTTTCTAGAGCCGTGGGGGCCACTTTGGATGCTCCCGGCCCGGCCTCCTGGCCCCATAACTCTTCGCTATTACTTGGAAACCTCTGACAACAGCCCCTCCTCGGAACTCATTAACTCGGCTTCCCTGTTAGTTCATTAGCACTCGGGAGCCCTGGCATGATCCTCCTCTGGCTCCCGCAGTCTCTGCCCTTACAAGTTCCGTTTCTGAGGTTTCTCTCACATTCCGTTTATTGTGACATCATTTATGAAGTTCTCCCTCGACAGGAGAGGAGTCAAAAATAACTATATATCATTTTAAATTGCTCTGGTTGGTGACTCTCCATTTTAAGAATATCAAGGAAAAAGAGTGTCTAATGACAGGGCTACAAGAGGATAAAGAGCTGACAGGGTAATTGCGTTGCCAGATGCTTCCATACACCAGTTAGCTGCTTCCTGGGCCTATTTGAAGCAACGGGTGTCAGGTCAGTAATTAGGCTCTTGCAGACAAACTGGAAGTGCCATCTGATCTCCTATGAACACCTCCCATCATTCCCATTTATGCCAAGTCCAATGTGAAGCACACCGTCACCATGCCTTCCCCGCAAGGCTGCCTGAAGTTCCCGGGGACATCTCCCCCCGCACTCCCACGCGAGCTAACGAAGTCAGCGCTTCCCCCGCACGTCAAAGAACCTCGCTCCCAGGATGGCAGGATTTCGGTGCCCGCCGATAGCGTCAACACCCAACGGCAGCCTCGACTCTGCTTTTTGATTCTTCTCTCCTGACTGTGGGCTGGCTGACATAGTCACACTCGGGCCTCCTTTGTGCTAACGCCTCTGGCTCCTTGCAATGGAGCGGAGGGCACAAGAGCCTGAGAACTGGCTTCAAGTCCCAGCTGACCCCTTAACTTGCTACAGGGCCCTGGTGGCACTCCAGTGCCAGATGGACACGTCCCCATTCATTGACCGGGTTGGGGTTTACAGAGAAGGGATGGGACACAGCCTGAGGCCATGCCATGGGACAGACACCAGGACAGTATGCAGGGAGAGCATCTTGTCCATTACTTGGGATTAAGTGTCACAAGGGTACAGCAAGCAGTAACAGGTGATGGCCCAGGTGAACCATCTCTGTTAAAGGGAGGGTGACACGTTCCACTCTGAAAGAGTAAAAGTGAACGTGCTAGTCTTTTAAAATGTTTGAGGACAGTCGTCTTTGGAGAAGTCCATCAGCAGGCTTCAGGGATGGAACTCTGGGCCAAGGGCGGTCAGGGGGTGGACGCCAAACCAGAATGAGGGAGGGCAGGTAGATACCTTGTACCTCTGCTAGTCTGCCCACCCAAACTACATCTTCCTTTTTTCTGATAATAAGCATCCTTGGTTTCTTTGGGGAAGATTCCCTCTCTCACTCTCAGTCCATACGGTTCAGGTGAGGCTGACTCACCCTACTCCCACACACCTGCGGGTGGCAATGATCCTCACTCTGGTCCAATGCCAGCCCAGGAACTACTGAAGAAAGGATGGCTTTCTTTCTGATAACCTTGCTGAGACGATTCCAGCAACTAGGTGACACTAGTGAGTGGCTCAGGGGGCCACCATAAGGAGAAAGAGCCTCTAAAATTCCAGCCAACACAGAGGAGAGCTGGAGAGAGACCACACCTGAGTGACACCATGCAGCCCCTCAGAAGCACTGATGGCTTTTCCAGCTATGGGGTGCAATCAGTCCCCTTGTATGTGGTTCAAGCCGGTCTCCATCGGGTTTCCTTCACTGGCCATGGGCTAGTCCTAAATAACTCACAGACAATGGAACAGAGCTCAGTCCTAGGGGAACTGGGTTCTGATCAGCTCCACTAATTAGAAGGGCTCCTAGAACCTCTAGTCAAAGCTAGAAAGTGAGTGTGGGTCCCAGGACAAAGAAGAAACACAGTTACTCAAACTAGGACTCACGACAAGTTGTCAGGGGAGTGGATTCCGAGTCCCAGAGGATGAGGGTCTTCAAATGTCTCCTGCTCAGGCCAGGCGAGGATGGCTCTCCTGGTGGGGGCTGGGAGCCCAGCTGTCAGAGAGCCGCTGGTTTCCACATTCACAGACTCCGCCTGACCCGGGACCTTCAGACAGGTCACTTTCTTCCATTGGTTCTCGGTTTCCCCATCTGTAAAATGAAGACGTTAGGTCATTTGCTGTTTAGACGCCTCCTAGCCTCTGAAAAGTATAACCTCCCCTCCCCACCCAGTCCCAGTGTGAAGCAGTGACAAAACCACAAGACACAATGCCCAGGACAACTACTAGGGCCTCGGAATGATGGTTCCTGGGACTATAATAAAGGGTTTCTGAAAGCAAGGAGTCTGACTTCTATTCCCATTATAGGATTCTTCCATCTTCCTCTCACCTTTCAATTTATCTTCCACATGGCTGACAGAGAGCGGCTCCTAAAACGCCAATGACATTTTACTGTCTCTCCGACTAAAATTTTCAATGCTACAAAATGCACTGAGTCCCACTGAGGACCATGCTCCGCCAAAAATAACATTCGTAGAGTTTGACGTTGGAACATCTTGTCAGCCGAACATTCGGGATTTCATGAAATTCTCATTATGATGACTTTTTACATTCTTTAAAACAAGGACATAAGTGGCATCCGTAACTGTTACATGGCATGATTTTATACGGTGTGAATTTTATTATCCTATTTTTATTTAATGTTTCTATAAAATCAGCAGAGAAGCGAAGAACATGGAAAGAAAGGATGCGCATGTGTCAAGATGTGGGTATCAATTCGTGATGGCCTCTCGCTTTTATAGCGGAGTGTCATCGCCACAATCCAATCTTGCACTGCCCATGCCAGGTTGGCTCGAGTTTTCCACAGTCGTAAGAGAGAGGGGTTATTTGATCTCTTGATCAGTGGAAAGTTGAGTCAAGGTTTGGGCGTGGCAGTGCCCCATCTTGATGTTGGTGACGGCTGGTCGTGAACTTGGCCTCCCAAAGAACTGCTTCTTGGGTGGACCCCTGAGAGCTAAAGCCAGGCCCTGCATGGAGCAGCCCCAGCCCAGGCTTGGGAGTCACCAAGAAGCCAGGTTCCCTTCCACAATACCTTTTAATTCTGAGGCCGTTTTCCAGAGTGTTCCATAAACATAAGCTTTTTCATGACGCCCTGCAGGGAACATTCTGCAGACAGCTAAGTTTTTGCCGATCTCCGGAGTTGGATACCGAGGATTCGAAGAGAAGATTTTTAGAGAAGATGGAAGCTCACAGAATGCCTCCCGGAGACAGAACCACACATAGATAATCTCAATACTGTATGGCAAACGCAGTGACCAGGGTACCCGCAGAGTACCAGGGGAGGTCAGGTCGCCAATACAATTTTGGGATAGAGGAGTAGGCATTTCTGGTGGGGGAATGAGGACACCAAGTCTTTGAAAATGGCCAAATGCAACTTGCTGTGTTGAATTTAGGCAGATTTTTCTCCGTAGTGTCTTACTGGTTTCCCTGACTGAAGCTTGTGGTCACCACCTGTGGGAATGTTTCTGATGATCGTGTGGACATAGTCACTCTGGTCTCACTTAAAAAAATTAAAAATGGTTAGAGGTATGCCCTTCCCCTCCACAATGCTCACCACATCCCTCAGATGTGGGACTATCCCCTCCCCCAACCCCCAATCCCTAGGGAGAGGCAAAGATATAAAATGTAACCAACATGTTAAGAAAAAAAGAAAAACAAAACATTTGTCCGGTGTGGGACAGGTGGGGGGGGAGAGGATGGGTGTATACATGCATAGTGAGTGTGCTTGAAGCTCTGACTCGAGGGGGGAGGGGAGACAAGGGAGACAATGTACGTAACCTTAACGTTTGTACCCCCATAATATGCTGAAATAAAAAAAAGAGAAAAAAAAAGAATTTCCTTGTACGCACACAAAAAAATTAAAAATGTTTAAAAATATGTTTAAGCAAATACAAAAGATGAAAGCATGGTACAGCCACAACGCTCACCCCGCTGAAGGGTGGGGACAAACACCCAGGTGGAGGCTAGCCAGGTCAGTTTCTCCAGTTAACCAGGTAACAGATTATCCCCTCTGCCAAAGCTGCACACGGCTAGAAGAGGAACGGGGTGAGGAGAGGTACCCTGAGGAGGTAAGAGAATTTGAAGATCAATACAATGTACACATTTGCTACATAGTCCCTCTCATTCCTTATTTACAATTGCTGGATGCATTAAAGGATGCTTCGGTCAGAGTTCAAATTCGCAAAGTGTTGCGGTTTGTTCTCTTCAGCCTAGCACAGAACATAGCGATGGGGGGTGAACCAAACTCTTGGGCCAGTTAACAACAGCTGCGAATGTCCAAAAAATAAAAGAGCCCTTTCTGGCTCAAGCACATCTCAACAACCCTCATTAGAAACTGATTGGCGATCGATGCGGGCAGTGCCCGAGCCGAGAAGAACAGTGAGGGTGGTCTGATGTTAAAGGGGACCACGAGGCGCTATTAAAACAGCCACTGAGAGTCAAGCACAATGTAAAGGGCATCGGCAAAGAGGGATTCCTAACGTCTGCTGCAATTTCTTCTACATTAAAATATTATTTTTAGACCTTACGTATTGTACGTAGAGGAAAAAAAAAAAAGGGAGGAAGGCATGGAGTTAAACTCCCCTTGCTTTTGAATGCAAGCTCAGTAATTTATCATCCAGTCACCTGATCTTTCAGATTCTCCTTTTCCTCTTTTCTTTCTGGTAAAATGGAGTTAACAAACCTCACCTCATAGGGTTGCTGTTTGGATTAGAATTAATATAATCAAAGCACTGGCCAAGGCCTTGGACTCCCCTAGGTAGTCAATCAGCTATAGTCAATATTATCATTATTATACTCAAGTTCTTGGTGAAACTTTGGCCTTGCTGTTAGCCACAGAAGCGGCTCAAAGGTTAAAAACTGAGCAAGGCATCCCCCAGGAAACAAGACATAGTAGATGTTATGAAGAGGATGAAGGGTTCAGTTTGACCAACTTCAGCTTCTGAAGCCCCAACTTCAGCTTCTCCCACCTCACTGTTCCCCTGTCCTTACTCGTACCATTTGTCTGTAGGTGGGCTGGAAAAAGAAATTCCATAAAAATTTTAATAATGCCAAAAAAGAGAGAGAAGAAAAGAGGCATAAACAAGAGATATGCATGTATATGTACATTGCAGGAGGAATTACCCACATGGACATAAAAAAGAGCTCAGAAAAA